AATATATAAACAGTCTGACCTCACTTTTTACAGACTGAAAATTGTATCTTATAATGAGGGTCTGAGGATACCTTCTATAATGAGAATACCTCCAATCTTTAAATTAGAGGTATCGCATTGCAACCCCTATGACCAACCAAATCTAAAAAAACCATTCCTAAATAAATGTCCGTGTAAATATTGTAAGGATGATTCACCAAGTGGCATTTAAAACTCTTAGGCGGGGGTTAAACGATCTAAAAGAATAAAAGAGAAAGCATTAGTCGATGCCCAGTAGCTCACATCAGTGTTAGGCTCCTGTGAGGTGAGGTAAAGGTGAAGTGAGGTGAGGTGAGGAAGGTAAGGTGAGGTTATAGTAGGTGAGGTGAGAAAAAAGTTAATGAAAAAATTTTAAAAAAATTAAGAGAAAAAATTATTAAGCAATAAATACGAGGAGATCGTAGATTCGAATCCTGCCCGGTGAAAAACTTCTGCTAAACGTTTTATATTTTATAGTGAGGTTTGATTTTAAAATAAGGGGATAAACATGAATTTGATATTTAAATAGAATATACCCGGAAAGGTTTTTTAAAACGTCAGAAAAAATTTACAAATATTAAATTAAATAAATTTAAATATGTAATTTATTTAAATAAAAAAAGAAAAATATACTAATTAAATTACTTTAAAAATTCTTTAAATATAACTTAAAATTATAACAGAATTAATAATAACTTCTATATATAAAAATATTTTTATTAAATTTAGGGTTTAATTTAAACATTTGGTATTTTTATTTTAAGAAGAATAATATTAGTAATTATTTTTTTAAAAATAAAGATTTATTTATATGTATTAAATATATAATTATACAAATGTATTTTTTATAAAGATTATACAATAATTAAAAAAATTAGAATATTTGAAACACCAAATTATAATTAAATAAAATTAGAAATATTAAAAATTAATCTGGGATCTTTGGTTAGAATTTAAGAGATTTTATTATTATTAAAAACAAATTGGATTTATTAGTGCAGTTACAAAGATCCTTAAATGTTTAAATTATAAATTGAATATTTTTTATAAGGGATATAAAATTTTTTATAAATTTTTTAAAATAAGTATAGGTATTAATTAAGTAGTGTATATTTCTCTAAAATTAATTATATTTTAATCCAAAAATATTTAAATTTTTCTTTTAATTATTTAAGTACATTATAAATAAAGAAATGATGTGTGTTTGTATTTTAAAGAAAAAAAAGTAAATCCTTGGGAAATGTTTGGATGATACATTTAATTTTAATAATAAAAATTAAAATTGTGGGAGAATTTTTAGTAAAGTAAAACGTAAATAAATGTACTTTTTATAGAGATTTGTGTATTTATTAAATAAAGTAATTAAAAATATTTAAAAATATAAATGGTTTTTTTTGAATTTCAAATCGACGCCTAAAATCAAGCCTTATTCTATTTCACAATAATCAACAATCATTATTACATTAAATGAATCAATAAAACAATCCCCGAAAAAATCTAAAAATAGTTTTTGAAAAAATCAAAGATTAGAATCTCATGAGAAAAATTTAAAAAAAAATAACTTTTATAAATTATTTAATTAATAATGTGAAAATGTTGCAAGAGGAAGTTTGAGAATAATAAGAAAAATTAATTAGAGAATTAATAAAAAGTTGACAAAAATGTGGGAAAAGTTTATTTAGAGGATTGAAATAAAGGGTAAATTAAATATGCTAGCTAATCATTGTTTCGACTTCCGCTAGGGGCAGTAATTAATCGAAGGAGGGTTATTATACAAGGTTTGGAATTTGAACGTGTTTAAGTGTATCTGGTAAGGGTAATTATTGTTTCAATCCAGTAATTAATGGAAGTGGGCTAATTATTTGAGGGAGGGCAATTAATACAGATTATACGGTAAATTAAAAAATTAAAAATCACAAATTCTAAAATTAATGTTCGCAAGAAATTTGTAAAGTTTCCAATAATGTGAACAAAAATAAACTAAAATAATCTTAATTAAAAATAAGCTGAAATGTATTATAAAAAATAGAAATTGTTAAAAATAGAAATAAATAACCAATTAATTAGTTAACTCCTTCAATTAAAAAATACAAAATAAATAATAAAGTAAATAATTTTGGATTTTTTGAAAATGAAAAAACAGAAGAATGGGAGCGAAAAAAATTTATAAAAGTAATTGTTGCTTTTAAATAAATAGAAAAAGTTAAACTATGTACAAAATTATCTGAATATTTAAATTGAAAATAAATTCAAAATTTGTATTTTTTCAGAAAAAATTTGTTTAAGAAAAATATTAATTTATTTATTTAAAATATACTCAATACTTAAAGTTTTTCTGAAAATTTAGAAAATAAAAAATGCGCAGAAATGAGAAGCATTTTCTTTAATATTTTTCTTTTCTCATGCATTTTTAAGCAAAATAAAAAAATAAAAATATATCCATATCCCCCCCTCCACTCTCTCAAAGAAAAATTTATCAAGTGGGGACGGAAGTTTAAAAAAGAAGACAAATAAAAATATTAAAAATAAATAAAATGTGTTTTGAAATATCCTAGGAAAAACAAAAGTGCATTTAAAATATAATTAAAAATAAGGAAAAAAATAATAAATTTATTTCCGATAATTATTTTTACAAAAAATTGTTTTTAAAATTAATATAGAAGAAAAAAATAATTTTAAAAACATGGGAGATGTTTGATGAATTAATTTTTAAAAATTATTATTAAAATAAAAAGAATTATTTTAAATTAATACAAAAAAATATTATTTAATTAAAAAACAGAAAAAATCCTGTTTGGTGCGAAAAGGAGGATTGGGATTAGAAGATGTATATTCTATTTAAAGAATTGAAAAACACAAAAAACCAATTTCTTTAAAAAAATTAATAATCATTATTAAATAGCTAAAACAATTTAAATCGAAATTAATAGAATTTTAATAAAATTAAAAAATGACTTTAAGTAAAATATTTTATGTAAAATAAAGTATCAAGTCGGACATCTTTAATGTATACATATCAGAAATCCTGCCGAGATAAAGATAGATTCCCGGTTTCGGGAATTAGATTTTTCGAATCAGAAAACGTCGGGACTTCTCGATTTTCAGGAATTTTCAGGAGACTTTGGGATGACAGGCAGGTTTATAATCTGTGTAGGATTAATTTAATTGACGACTTAACTGTCTAGTGTGTCTGTCTAATGCTACGTTTACAAATAATGCATGCGTCTTGCGACATAAAAGATATTGTAAAAAGAGGGGAGAAAAGATGCTGAGCGTCTTCGTCGGTGTCCTGCGTTTTTTATGTTTTTTTGCATATTTTTTGGGGGAAATGTTGCTTATTCAATAAATAAAATAATAAAAATTAACAAAAACATTCCAGAAAAAACTAATTTATTTTTAAAAATAATATACAATTTTTTCTATTTCATTGGCATTGGTTTTACATCTTCAAACCCAACACATATATCTACATAAATATATATTTCTAACAACCAATTTTATTACACATTGGCTTATACATAATTCTTTTCTTCCAATTTGCATTTTGGCAGAAAAAACAAAAAAAAGATTTATACGTATATCTATTTATTTTTATTATTCACCAAAAAATGAGGAAAAATGTTTATAAAAAAATAAAAATTAAAAATATTTTTTATTAAAAATATTTGGATATTTTAGGTGAGAGAATAAAATACTACAAAAATATTGAGACATTGAGAAAAATATAGGGAAGCATTAAAGCGCATTGAAATAAATAATATTAATTAAGAAAATAGGTAGAAGTGAAATTTCTAAAATTTAAATAAAGAAAAATTTTTAAATATTTTTATCAAGTTTTTATGTATTTTCCCAAAAATATTTAACTAGAAACCAAACTTTGAAGTAAAATATTTGCACATCCCTTCTGCCTTAATACATACATACATAATTCACCAATTTTTTAAAAGTTAATCATAAAAATTTACAGTAAATCTGTCTGTTTAATATTTAAATGTAAAAGTAAACACTTTCGCAGCAAATCCGGATTAGAAATATCAGAAGAAATTTTTTTAATCTAAAATGGGGAGAAAATTAATTGGCAATTTTATTTTTTGAGTGGGAAGAAGCCTTTCATTTATTAAAAAATTGAAAAAAAAATAATTTTAAAAATTTTGAAAAAAATTTTGCGTGGTATAAAATGAGTTCGCAACAAAAATATTTTGCCTTAAAAAATTAAAAAAAAAATCTTTTAATTTTTTAAGAAAAGGATTAAAAATATTAGAAAAGCCATTAAAATAACACATGACTAATAAAAAAAGGATTTTTTATGTTATTTTTTTGATTTATGAAAAAATAATCTTAATAAAAAATATGGATGGAACTAAATAAATATCTGAAGCTTAGAATAAATAAACCCCCACCCACTGTATGTTAAAAAATGTTTTAAAACTTTATTTTATATAAAAATAAATTTTAATTTATTCAAAAGAAAGGCAAAAAAATTATTTTTAACAAATATTAATTGGATTTAAAGAAAATTAGATGACCAAAAATTACTCGAAACTCTAAAATAAATAAAATTATTTTAAATTAATTAAGAATTAAAGAGAAAAATTAATTAAATTTAAATAATTTTTAGAATTTTAATTTAAAATAAATGGATTGCTTTTTATGAATTAATATTAATTTTTAACATTTTTGCTTTGGCGCCGAAATTTATAAAATAAAATAGAAATTACTAGGCATTTTTGAATTCTTGCACATATGTATATGTCGACCTTTTTTGCAACCTTTTTCCTATTTTTGTCACCTATTTTAGCATTTTATACAACCTATTTAAGTACCAATTTTAAGGTTTTTACGACCTAAAAATTCGCTCCCTAGTAATTATTAATAGATTTGCTTAATGAACCTCGCTTTCTACTTTTTTCTTCATTTATTATGTATAAAAAACAAAAATATTTATTGAAAAAATAAAAAAAAAACTTAAAATTTATTTTCAATTAACGTGTCAATTCCCCCAAAAATATCCTTTTATCACTTCCAGCAGAAAGAACTAAATTAATAAAAAATTAAAAATAAATTAACTTTTTCGTTTACTTATTGGTTCTGTTGGGTGAAAATCAACAGCATTAACAGATCCTTGATGTCCAGGAAGTTTATAAGCAATATTTCTAGAACCAACATCCCAAACATAAACAAAACGATCACTTGAACCTTTAAAAAGAGTTTTTAAATATTAAAAAAAACAAATAAAAACAAACCACAAGAAACTCTATGGGAATCGGGAGACCAAGCACATCGTAATAAATTCTTTAATTTTTAAAAATTAATGACTTTTAATGTCTAAAGCTCGTTTTATGGTTCTGATCCAGATATGGAAGATCTATATGTAATTCGAACATCAGCTCGTCTGTCTGTCACTCGCTGACATCAGCTCGACGAGCTCTTTCGAATGACATATAAATCATCTGGATCAGAACCATAAAACGAACTTATTGTTTAGCAAGAAAGTTTTCGTTCCATAAAGTTTAGATTAAGAAAATTAGAAAAACGGGCATTTCTGGGGGTAAATTTCAAGGAATAAAATAGGGGGTATTCGCCCTATGCCAGAAACCGTCCGTTAGTTTATTAAATTTTAGAAGGTTCTGATACACTGAAATTTTTAAAGATATGACTAAATATATGCCTAATTATGTTCTCATAATTAACAGAATAGACTGAAATCTCTGGATCCCGTGGATGTAGGCATAAAACATAAAAATGTTACGGAGTCTTCTCAACTTACAAAAACCAAAATAAAATTTAAAACTTCCTAGAACGCCTAATCCATTTAAAAAATTAAAAACCTTCTCAAAATTATGTTGATGTCCACTCAATGTTTTTACACATCTTTGTGAAGTTGAATAAGGACGAATATCCCAAATGCGTGCTAAAAACAATCTTTTTTTTAATTTTAACAAATTAAATTTACCTGTACAATCCATAGCATTAGATAAAACAAAACTTCCATCTGGACTTAAACAAAGTCCTGTAACTGTGTCAGAATGTCCATGCATTGAATGGAGAAGGGAATTTTTACGTATATCCCAAACCTTTAAGAAAAAATTTTTTTCACATGGGAACATGTGTTATTGTCACCACGAATTTGATATTTTCTTGGTACCATTCGATAGAGGACCCCCGATTTTCTATTGGATAATGCGTTCCGTTTTCTTGCAAAATCACTTTAGGACGAGTTATGGCCGTTCAAAGTTTCAGTCCAGGGGACTGGTTGATTCGTCCTCTATCGAATGGTACCAAAAAATACCAAATTCGTGGGTAGCATATGTTCCCTAGTCAGAATTTAAACAGAAAATAAAATTTCCAAAATTTGAACTTAAATTAACTTAAATTTAAAAAAAATTCAAAAAAATTCCAACCCTCAAAGCATTATCGATTCCACCACTCAAAACCAATTCAGCTGTATCATTAAAAGTAACAGTTGTGACTTGATATTTATTTATATTTTCAAAAATAATTGCCGGTTTTCTTTTTCGTAAATCGTGAACCTTAAAAATAATTAAATAAAATTTAAATTAAAAAAAACTTGTATAGTTCCATCATCTGATCCAGAACAAACAATATCAGGCCCTCTTCTAGCTGGATGACAACCATTAACAAAATCCTTTAAAAAATCAATAAAATTAATTTTTGAGAAAAGTAACCGAATGTGAGCGAAATCGTCTAACACAAACACCCGTTTCCATATCCCAAACACGAACAGTTTTGTCTGTTGAACAAGTATACAGATAACTTTAAAAATATTTAATAAAAGATATTTTAAGAATTTTAATAAATATTTTAAGGTTCGGAAGCGTATATTTTTTAAATTCAATTAACAAAAAATCACTAGAAAATTTTTAATTGGTCGAGATTTTTTTGACTATAAAGTGATGAATCAAAACAAATTTACAATCGAAAAAATTGAACGTTAACGTCCAAGACTAGATGAAGTGAGAATGAATTGGATTGAAAATTTAAGCCGGATTGAATAAATCCTAACAAAAATTCAAAAAAACCAATCTCCGATTTATGTAAAAAATTTTTTTTAGAAAGTCCCCAAAGTAACAAGATACAATCCCGGAGAATTGGGGTCCATGCGAAAAAAATTCTAAAAATAAAAGAAATGGTGTTTCTAGGAAAAATACTTTTTTTTATTTTTAATTTCCGCAAGGACCCCAATTCTCCGGGATTGCCACAAAAGACACAAAATAATTTTAAAAATTAAAAAAAATTGCCTTGTATCTGTATTAAAATGCACATCCATAATTGCTCCTTTATGTCCAGTAATTGTTGAGAAATTCTCACACTCTCCTCGAGCGCTCCACAAAACTAAAAATATTTTTAGAAAAATATTTTCCCCTTAAATTTCTCTAAATTACATATTTTCATATCAAATCCAACCGAAGCCAATATATTTCCATCATGACTAAATCTCGCCCCAAAAATTTCCCCCTCATGTCCAGTTAGAAGCATTATGGGACTTTGAAGTGATGAAGGGCGTTGTTGACCATTTTCTTCATTTCGTGTTCCTTCAACGGGTACAAGCGCTCCTTCATCGAGTCGAGGACGTTTAACATCTTTAAATTAAATTTAAAAAATATTAATTAAATAATAACCTCTAGGAGGTAGTGGCAATGCAGGTCTTCTAAATACTTGGGATTCTGCCATATTAAAATTTCTATAAAATTTATATAAAGTTTAAGCAAGTTTGGAAATTAAATAAAATCTTAAGAATTAAAAATGTGCCAATTTTAGGGTGTGGGACGACTCAGTACCGTCGATTCACTATCAGTTTTTAGATCATAACATCATTAGAAACCGCATTACGAGACCTTTCGAATGAAGCGAGAATTATTAGAACCGGACGAAAATCAAGAGAGGTATGGCCATATACTGAATCGGCTGACTTTACTGCCAATTTTCCAATTAGGACCAGGGGTGTCCACAGTTGCGGATTGCGTGAAATTGCGTGTTTTTTAGACTTGCGGGTACTTTTCCGTTTTGTTACACCCCCATATATTAATGCTCAAAATGTCACATATAAGGTAATAAAAGGTGCTGAGTCGAACGGTACCTTTCTTTTTCCCAGGAGATGTCTGTGGACCGAGATATAGGGCTCGAAATGGTCAAAAACCATAGGGGGGAGCATGTTCATTTTTGGGGTAAAAATTCAAATATACAAATAATAACCCATTCGAAAGAGCTTATGGAGCTGAGTCGAAAAACACCAAGATCAACGAAATCTGATTTGATTTGACTGAGATTCAGGTCCCTGAAAATTGAAGAACCACACAATTTTTTGTATCGTAACTCGGTCCAAACTTGTTCGAAGACGGTGATTTTGGTGTCATTCAACTCAGCTCGTCGAGCTCTTTCGAATGAGTTATTATTTGCATATTTGAATTTTTTACCACAAAATGGCCTAATGGTTTTTGACCATTTCGAGCCCTATATCTCGGTCCACAGACATCTCCTGGGAAAAAGAAAGGTACCGTTCGACTCAGCACCTTTTATTACCTTATATGTGACATTTTGAGCATTAATATAGGGGGGTGTAACAAAACGGAAAAGTACCGACTTGCGGATTACGGCTGCGGATTTTAAAATTAAAATTGCGGATTGTAGCTGCGGAAAATTTTTTGCACTTGCGGACACCCCTGATCAGGACAGTTGAGTGTCGAGATTAGATTAATTACTTGTAAGTACTGTAAATGCACATTCTTTGGAAATGCTTGATAGAAAAAAACCTTTACTTTTAGTTATTGCAAAAAATTACAAAAAAATTATATTTTGGATTAAAATCCTAAAAATATTCCCAATGCCAATGTCATTCTTATATGTCAAGTTTTATGAAAATAAAAACAGATAAATACAAAATTAAAAGAATCAAGTTTCTTCAAGTTCCATTTTTGAATCAATTCATTTTAACTGAAGCAATTCAACAAGTGCCTCTGGAACCACCTTTTCGAAACGGCCGGGTTCGTAAACATTAGTCAAATAATTAAATAAAAGGCTTATATTATATCCAGTTCTGAAGCATATTTCGATTAATTGAAGCAATTCTGTATATCTTTTTACGCCTGATAGTTGGCCATGTCGTTTCTAATTATAAATATTATATTTTTATTTGAATATATTTTTAAATGGAAGGCTGAATTTGAAGATTTAAAAGTCAAGGCTATTGTCGAGTAGATCCTCCCGAAGGGGGTCTAGTTCAGGCTAAATTTTAGAAGGATGTTGCGTGTATTAATATATTGAAGTTATCTATCGAAATACGTGTAGGAAAAGGGTGAAATTAAGGAACCAGGAAGTGAAATCAAATTTAGAATTCATTTTTTAATACAAGAAAATCCTTTTATTACTACAAACTTGTAATAATTTCATTAATATTTTTGAATATTTCTCTGCCTCATCCAACATTATTTTTTGGCCATTAAGTGTTAAACCATTTGTGACAAAATGTGAAAAAATTATTGCACGGAGAAGAACGTACTCCTCTTCATTTATCATTAACCTATTGAAACGTTCCATAATTGTTAAAAATATTTTCTGGCATAAATTATTTATTCTAAAATAAAAAAAAGGAAATTTATTTTTAATTATTGGCTTAATTTTCTTTATATTCTTTACAAATTTCATTGCTTATTAATTTTAGCTTCTGATTAAATTAGCTTTATATTAAATAGGTCTTTACAGGTAACGTAAAGTAAGAACGAGGTAAAAGTTCAATCCAGGGCAGGCTTCGATCCTGCGACCTCCTGCTCTTCCTTACAATAAAATAATTATTTAAATCAAACACTTAAAACATTTAAATTTTTCTAAAACAAAAGTTTATTATCATAAATTAACTACTTAACGTTAAATTTCCTTTATAATAATCTCCACTAAAAGCTGCAAACATAGGTAATCTTTCTGTTGTTATAACAGCATCTGACAATTTAGTACTGGAATAATATGCAGTTGCTAAAACTATAATGGCCCAAGAAATATTTTTAAGTTGAGTAACCTTCAAAAAATAATTTTTTTCTTTTAAATTTTTTTCAAAATTTATTTACAATATCAGACATTTCCAATTTATTAAAGAAAGGCATTATTTTAGCCATATTAACAATTAACATAAGATCCTCAATTAAGGAGTGTGGATGGATAGCGAAAAGTCCATTTTTGTTAAGAAATTCAAAATAATCTGTACCGGGCATTTTAATTTCTTCATCCTTTAAATTAATTTAAATAATTTTTATTTAAATTTAAAACCGAACTAAATATTCACAACTTTTCGAAATTAAATTTTCTTGTTGATTAATTAAATCATTTAATGTTTTACAAGAATAATTATAATGCTTGTCGATAACTTTTGTAGGTGAAATTCTGATTCTTTGAACATTTTGTTCTATTAATAAAAGATAGTCAATAATTTGGTTGTCTTGATTTTCGATTAAATTATTTTGCTAAAAAAGACAAATTAAATATTTATTTTATTTAAAAATATTAATAAAGTAAAGCTCCAGAAAATAAAATACTGGGAGCTCTCCTAAACATCGTTGTCATTTGTTTGAACTAGGGTAGCACTAGGGTAGCGTCTGGGATCGGGGTTAGTCGGGGTAGAGCCTTCGGAGGTCGGGTCGTGGTTTTTGCCTAAAAAATGCCTAGTCCGGACCATCCCAGAAGGGATTTTGATTTCCATTTTTGATTCATTAGGGATCAAATTAATTAATTTTTTGTTAAATAATATTTAATTTATGTACCATAACAGAAAATACAGCATTTAAATTTACATTAACATAATTTTCAATTTTTCTTTCTACATATTTTCCATTTAAAGCTAATTCACCAATTCTTTGTTCAATTAATGAACGAACATCCCATATAGATTTATTGTGAGGACCTTTCAATTTTTCTACATTCATTCCTTTTAAAATACATTTATCGAAACGGCAACTTTTGCACTTGTTTGGAACTGTAAATTAATTTTTTTTTAATTTATTTTGAGTTAATTTAGTGAGTGACCGGTGCTGGACAAATCCTGCGCGAGCTTTTACGGGATTTTTACGGGATGAGAGGTCTTATGCATTTATCCAGCAAAACAATGTCTTCTGAATGTTTTAGGAAAGATTCCGCATTCACGGGATCCGTCAAATATTTATTTTACTGGTCACTAATTTAAATTATTAAATAATTTTTAAATAATTTAACAAAAAATTAATTTCCTACCATTCATTATTTCACATTTTCCTTCAGATTTACATTTAATTTCATCCTTTGTTGCAATACAACGACGAAAAAAATGTTTACAGCCTAACAAATAAATATTTTTTCCTTATTTTTATTAAAAACAAACCATCACAACACATAACCCCATAATAAATATATCCACTAGCTATACCTCCACAAACACGACAGTTTATTGGAAAATTCTTTTTAATTATTAATTTTTTATTTTCATTTCCCTTTATATTTTGTTTAGAAATGGGATAATTTAAATTTTGTTGGAAATTATTATTTTCTTCCATTTCCTTTAAAATTATCATTTAAAAGAGTAAATATCCTTAATTTTTTATTAATCCTCAATTTGAGATTTAATAAAAACACTTCTTTTAAATTTTGGGTGGCCACTGGGTGGAAGGACTGCCTAGCGATACCTAAGTATTTTCATTATAAGGTACGATTTTTCTGCACCAAAGGGTATCTAAAAATGAAGTTAAAATGTATTCTAAAATTTTTACAATTTAATTAAATATTCCCAAACCCGGATATTTGTTATAAATGCCGGCAAATTGTCCGGGAAGTAATAAATGAAAGGAAATATTATTAGTACCCATCAATTACTATTTTAATATAAAATAAATTAATTTATTTAAAACAATTCGATAAATCTTTTTACGGTAAAAAGTAAAAAAATTATTAAAAAAATTTTTTTAATATTTGCGCAGCTTTATTATATATTAGTCAACGGTAATAAAAAAGTAATATTTTAATGACTTGTAAATATTAATTTTTCCTTTGAAAAATAATAATATTTTAAAGTTGCTTTGGTAACCAAAAATAAATATTTAAATAAAAATCATAGGAAACAAATAAATATTTACTTTGTAAAATCAATTCTTTCAAATCTATATTTTAATAATAAAATGCAAAATAGTAGGTATGTATATGTATTAAATATCAAAAATTGGAAAAGTAGTTATTTTTGATTAATTAGTTTCGATCTAATTGGTTACATGTTAAAATTAAAAAAAATTAATTTTAAAATTTTTATTTTTAAATAATTCAATTTAGGTATTTAATTCTTCTAAGAAGTATGTATGTATATATTTGGTACACAAATTGCCGTAAATGCTCTAATTAAAGCCCGGCTCTATTAGATGACCATATCTAATACAAGCACTCAAGGAGGCCCATTGAAAACCTCGAAAACCACCTTAACCCAATTAAAAAATTTTACGTGAAATTTTAATAAGATTCTTTTTAGAAATCGGATTTCAGAGACGGGATGAAAGACTATGGCTTGATTTTCACATCGACTTATCCAACTGCTACTAGTATAACTTTTTTTTCCAACTATGTAGTTTAACTTATTTTTTACAAATTAAAGAGTTCGTGATTAAATAAAGGTAATTTTACTTTTATTTCCAAAAAATATTTTTTTTCAAAAAACAATCATTTTCTCTTATTTTTTACAATTCTTTTCCTCGACACATTTATTATTTTGATTGCGAACTAATCTTTCAATGGCTCTATTTCCCACCATTCGTTGAATACAAAGACAACGTTGTGCCCCACAAACTGGTTTGGTTTTACAAGGGGGATTTGGATTTTTACATGTTCCATCACATCCACATTTTTGTGGTTCTTCGTTTTGTCCACATTTAATAGCTTAAAAATAATTAGAAAATTAATAATAATTTTATTTAATGTTAAAATACGTTTTGTTGAGGTTTCAACAGCATTTGTAAAAATTTCTTGCTTGATATAAATAATAAAAAATAATGTTATAATTAGTATATAATTTTTAAAAATCATTTTAATAATTAAATATATTTATTTAATTCATAAACATGATAATTAAGGCAAAAATGGTTGCCTTTTATTTCCAAAACTTCGAAATATTTTTAAAATTAAATGCTAGAAACAGTGATTAATTTGAAAAAATGTAATAATTTTATGTTATATTTAGCATTTATTTATAAAATATTCTTAAATATTAAAATCTAAAAAATATTTTGACATTCAGATAATTGTTAATGCTTTAAATATTAATTTTGTATACTTATTTTTTACTGTTTTTGGTCTTAAAATTCTTTTATAAATAGTTGTTATAAAATATAAAGTAAAGCGATCGAACCCCTCATAGGAAAGGAATATTTGGATTTGATATTGAGAGCTCTCAGCTGGAAGGCCATCCCACAATAAACTCATCGTTTTAATTATTGCTTTATTCGCTAGGATGGGAGAAAACTTTGCCAGTCTTACAATACAACTTGCAAATTTTTTCATTAATCATTTATATAAATTGAATTAATAAAATATTTATAATAATTCGAAATTCAATATAAAATATTTATTTTCAATTAATTCCAAGAAAAACATTTTAATTTTTCAACGTCCCCTTCCCCGCCCTCCCTTTCCATGGCCGCCTCCTCCATATTCTCCATATCCTCCCTTTCCGTGGCCGCCCCCTCCATATCCTCCATATCCATATTCTCCATACCCTCCATATCCACGTCCTCCATATCCGTATCCTCCATATTCTCCATATCCATATCCTCCATATTCACCATAGCCATAATCCCGACGTCGTGTTCGAACACTAAATGAAATAAATTTTGGTTTAAAAATGTACCAAAACAAGATTTTGCCTAAAAATATTTATAGGAAAAGTAAATTATCGAATTAAGTGAAGGGATAACTACGAAGTAAAGTTGGATATGCAGAGATGCTTCGAAACAAAAAAATCTTCAAAATTCGAAATTTCTAAACTTTTAAACTTCAGGCTGTTCAACCCTACTATATACGAAAATTCCAGAATGTTTAGTTCGAATATCGGATTCGTATACCTCCAATCCCACATTGATGACAAATTCTTCGAAAAACAAGTTTCCATGATTTTTTCTAACACTTTTATAAAGATGTACATAGGTATATTAATTTGTATTTACTTATAGTAAATAATAAAAATTTAGGTATTTAAAATTGTTACAGTAAATCAGAGTCATCTCCTTCAGGCTGTTCACATATACAGATTGTGAAAAAAACGAGAAAGCAGATTAACAAAATTAAAACTAATTTAGTGTTCAAATTTAAATTTGCCATTTTTATTGTAGTTTTTCTTAAATTAAATTTTCAAAAAAATATGAAAAATCTTGACCTAAATAATAAAAGGATAAATTACCAAGAATAATTTGCTTGAAAAATATAAATAAAGATCCCGAAAATTAATTATTAGAGTACTATGTAGACTACGGGCTCACTAAATTGCAGGATTAGATAGCCGTCCAACATTAACGAATCCTGAATCAAACAATATTAGGGTGTAATTTGAAAACAAAGTTAGAGAAGCGTAACATTATTGGTTTCAGGCTTAGTGACCTCCAATTAATTAAATTTAAATTAAAAGTTTTTTCAAATTTGATAATGAAAATATATATTTATTGTTTATATTTATAACTGAAATAGGTAAAAATTTAATATATTTTTATTTTTAATCTTTAATTCTAATTCATTATTTTTGTTGTTTTTTAGATTATTTTTGTTTTTAATTAAAACTTTAATAGAATTTTTGCAAAAAAAAATTTTTAAACGAAAATAGTGATAACACTTAAAATTAAAATAATTAGGGTATGATTTAGGGTGGAACAAAACTGTTTAATTTTGAAAAAAACCGTATACCTTCTATGCCGTTTATCTGAGACCCGTATACCGTTTCGTTTATTTTTGAAGACCCCGTTTAAACGTCCGTTTACCGTTTATTTTTAAAATTTTCTAAAAACAATTCATAATTTTAAAAAAACAATAAAAAATCAACAATTTTGCTCATCCCTCTTTAAACAAATTATAATTCAGCAATAAATTCATCTTCCTCACTTTCTTCAATTTCTTCAGGATCAATTTCCATCATTACCATTCTAGGAATCACCTCTCTTGTAAAATACTTATGGCCATGAATCTATTTAGAAAATATTAAATATTTCCTTGTTTAAAAGTTACATGAATATTTGTGTAGGCTAAATTTTGTACAATTCAAGCAATAAATTTTGTGCATTACTACAATACAAGCATTACTACAATACAATACAATACAAGCAGCATTACTACAATACAGCAATACAATACAAGCAGCAATACAAGCAGCAATACAAGCAGCAAATTTGTTTATTAATTATTTATTCAAAATAAAATATTTATAATAATTCAAAATTCAATATAAAATATTTATTTTCAATTAATTCCAAGAAATATTTTAATTTTTCAACGTCCCCATCCCCATCCTCCCATTCCGTAGCCGCCCCAGCCTCCCATTCCTCGTCCCCAGCCCCAACCACGGCCACCACCCCATCCGCCCCATCCACCATAGCCATAGCCCCAACGTCGTTTTCGAACACTAAATGAAATAAATTTTAGTTTAAATATTTAAAATAAAATTTTGCCAAAAATATTTAGAGGAAAAGTAAAAGTATCGAATTAAGGGAAGGGATAACTCGAAGTAAAGTTGGATATCTGTATGCAGAGATGTTTGGGAACAAAAAAATATCTTTGAAATAGCAACGAAGATTCAGAAAAGTTTAGTTCGGATATCGAATTCATTTATTTTACTTATAATAAATTCTAAAAAATTTATTTGAAATTCTTACAGTAAATCGGATTCATCTCTTTCTGGCTGTTCACATATACAGATTGTGAAAATTATAAGGAAGCAAATTAACAAAATTAAAACTAATTTAGTGTTCAAATTTAAATTTGCCATTTTTATTGTAGTTTTTCTTAAATTAAATTTTCAAAAAAATATGAAAAATCTTTAACCTAAATAATAAATGGATAAATTACAAAAAATAATATATTATTTCATTTGTAAATAGGACCCTAATTTGACAAATTCTGCTTAAGAAAATAAATGAAAATCCCGATTATTAATTATTAGAGTACACCCCCCATAGACTACGGGCTCACTAAATCACAGGATTCGATAGCCGTTCAACTTTATCGAATCCTGAATAAAACCATATTAAGGTGTGATTTGAATACGAGGTTACAGACTTAGTGATAGTGATGCTTAATGATACTTACAGATTGCTCTAGGCTTAGGGACCTCCAAGTAATTAAATCACACAATTTAAATTAAAAGTTCGTTTAAATTTAATAATGAAAATATATATTTATTGTTTATATTTATATATACACAATTTATACTTTTTTCATCATAAGATCATTTTTTTATTTTTTTTAAATTTTGCCTCATCAAGTCAAAGTATTTAATTTAAATTAATTCAGCGAATTTTATTATTAACAGTTTAAAAGACTAAAATTTAATACGTAAATGACCCGTAATAACAATTAATTTTATTTTATACTTTAACAAAAAATAAATTGTAATACATATTATTTTTTAAAAATATTTTTCCTTAATTTTAAAAAAGCCGTCCAATATTAAATAGTTATCTTCCCAAAAATTTTTTTTAGAATTATCAAGGAAATATTAACAAAAATTCAAAATAAAGTACAAAAAATTCCTATCCGAATTGAGAATAATATTTTTAAATTATTTTGTGTAAACTAATTATTGGCCACACAAAAAGAAAATTGAGAAATCAACACAAAAACAACCCCCTTACACATTTTTTTTATTTATTCGTCAAATAAAATAGGTAAAAATTTTATTTTTTCTTTTTAATCTTTAATTCTATTTAATTATTTTTGTTGATTTTTAAATTATTTTTATTTGTTTTTGATTAAAACTTTGATTAAATTTTTGCAAAAAGAATTTTTTTTAAACTAAAAATAGTGATATCACTTAAAATTGAAATAATTAGAGTTTAATTAATAAATAAAAAATAAAAAAATATTTTGGTTACTTTTAATTTTATTTAAAAAATTAAATGAATATTTTGGACATATAATTAATTTTAAATTAAATTAAAATTAATTTAATTTATTAAGGACATCCACTTTTTCTAATACAATCATTATTTCCATCCCTAACAAATCCTTCTTTACATAAACATTTCGGCTCTTTCTCGCAACTCTGAATACATATTGGATCGGGATTGTCACAGGTTCCATCACATCCGCATTCCTTCGGGATTTCGTCTTGTCCACAATCTATGGCTTAAAAAATTATTTTTTAATTAATTTTCTTTTATTTTTAACAAAAATACTTGCCTGCATTAATTGAATTATTTATTAAAATAGAAATTATTGGAATTAAAGTAATTAAAATTTTTGATGAAATATTATTATTCATTTTTAGTTTTTAAAATTAAAGTAAGGATAATTAACTAAATTAGGTATATATTTATGTAAAAATGTATAAAAATTAATTTGAAAATAATTTTGTTTACGGAAATTAAAATAATTTTAATTTTTAAAAAATTTTTTTTGTTTAATACTTCATTCTACACTTTAACATTAAAATTTAAATTTAATTTAACACTTTAAAATCTTAACTATTTACTATTTCAGTGTAAATAGTCAAAATACACAATTGAACCTCAGTTGCTCGTCGGTTAACGCAATTGAAGGTACCTATTACATAGGAGGCTCCTCTAGGGACCAATCAAGTAAAAAACTAGCTTTAATGAGAGATTGAAAAACAAATACACCCGACTGTATTATGATCAGTAACGAGATCTAAGTATTAGTACCTAATTATCGGACCCTGATTCGTAATTTAATTAAAGTTGAAAAAAGGAATTACTCAATTAATAGTAGATGAAAGGTTGAACTAAAGTAAATAGTATAAATTAAGTTATTTAATTATAATAGTAGTACATGTTTCTTATTTTTAAAAATATTTGATTTAAAATATTTTCAATGGAATAATTTTTCTAAATAAAAAAGCATTTCTTTTATAATGATTATTATTATGGTTTAGTAAACAGAAGTAAAAATATTTTTGCTTACTAATTCTAAAATAAATAACAAATTTAAAGGTTATTTCAAAAATTACTAGATGGTACTAAATAATTAAATAAATTATTTTTTTTGAATATTTATTTTTAAAATAATTTATCTTTTTTCATTATTTTTAATACCCACAGAAGTCTTTAAAAACTATTTACAGTTGAACTTCTCCTATAACTCTCGGCACCTAATTTATCAGACTTCTGGACAAAGGTGTTATTAGTCGATAAAATATTTTTATTTATTTGTCATTTAATTTTCCTTAGAAATTTCAAGTCAATATTATTCAAATTATCATATTTTATTTGTTCCACACCAAAGCTTTATAATTTTGTGACAAATTAGAAAATTATTAAATTAATGAACAATAATTTATTTTTTTTAATAACTTAAATAATAGAATTTAAGGGCATTCATTCCCATCAATACAAGTGTTGTTTTTGTTCCTCACAAAATCAGACCTACAAACACAACCCTTCTTACAAATTGCTGGACATATTGGATCTGGATTTGTACAGGAACCATCACAACTTCCACATCTTTTGAATACTTCATTTATTCCACATTTTATACCTTTAATTTAAAATTATAATTAATTTTTATATAAATTTCTAGCCTTCAGCATTTCCATGATTAATCAACAAAACGAAAATAAATAATAAAATAATTATTTTTGAAGTCGAAAAATTCATTTTTTAATACTTTAATTATTTGTTTAATTTCAGATGGATAAACCGAACGGTCGCACTATTAGAAGAATATTTTAGAGAAAAATATTTTTAAATTTTAATTTTAAATTTATTTCAAATAAAAAGTAGCTTAATACTAAAAAATTTTCTTTCATTAAATAAACGCAAAAACAATTTTTGATCACTGCTTAATAATGATTAAATGTTTAACAAAAATATTTCTTTCGTTAAAAAGTGCAAATTATTTAAGTAATTAATTAATATTTTATTTAAATTAGCAAATAAATTTTTTAGTTCAAAGATTTTAACAAAAGAAAGGTTATTCAGAAGATAAATTGACTATTTATGGTGTATAATTATTTTAAATATTTTTTAATTTTTCTGTTAAAATTATTATTAGAAAAAATTATATTTCAACGACAAATAATATTTTTTTATTTTATTTTTGTTTCAATTTTACTAAAAATGTATGTAAAATGAGTTTTAGTTTTTGTATAAATTTCACATAAAAAATATATAAATATTCTTAATTTTATTAAAGTTTCGAAGAATTTATTTACCTCCTTATTACTCAATTCTTTTTAATATTCAAATTATTTATGTATTCAAATAGCCTCATTTATTCTCATTAACGATAATATAATTAATGAATATTTACTAAATTAATTAAAAAACTTTAATTGTTATGTATCTAAGTTTAAAATTTATGGGCATTTCTTCGGATTAATACAAACATTTTTTTCATTCCTAACATAGCCATCAATGCAATAACAATTTGGCTTGCAAACATCTTCGCATACTTTATCCGCACAACTACCATCACAACCACAAGGTTTGAGTTTTTCATTTTTTCTACAACCGCTACCTTTAATTTAAAATTATAATTAATTTTTATATAAATTTCTAGCCTTCAGCCTTACCGTAATTAATCAACAAAACAAAAATTACTGATAAAATAATTATTTTTGAAGTTGAAATATTCATTATTTTAATAATTTAATTATTTATTTAATTTTTAAAAATGCTCTAAATTGAAATAAATTTTAAATAATAATTATTAAATTTTTAGTTATTTATTAGCAAATTAACTCAAAAAAATTAAAAAAAATTTTTGAAAGCTTCAAAAAACCGCGAGATATATTCAACCGTTGTCTGCGAATTACTTATATAAAAGTAAAACCGAACTGAATTAATTTTAAAAAATCCGGCCGGGAGATCGACTCCAAAATCCAGCTTCTGAATTGGAAAAAAATTCAGGGCCCTAATATAATTGTTTAGTTTATATTAGTGATCGGGAAAATCTACCTCTTTTTATACGAAAATGGAAACCTTAAAATAATGGACGTTAGGTGGATGGGTTAGTTAATATAAATATTTACCAGGAAAGTATTAACAGACATATTAATCACGTGATCTTTAGACTTTTCTGGTTGAATTCATCTGAAACATAAAATTTTTTCTAGTTTTATTAACATAAAAATTTATAAATATAGTCCTTAATATAAACATACCATCCTTTTTAATATTTAAATCTTTTATTCAATACATTCACTAACCACATTTACATGAAAATAAAAAATATTTAGAAAATTTTATATTTACTTATAACAATAATTTTTTTCATTTTTAAATGTACCTAATCATTATCATCTAGTTTTATTAATATAATATTTCCACAAAAATAATTTTGCATATTAAATTCATAGTTTTTGATTATTTTGTAGCCTACAATTATTAATATTAGACTATATTTAATTTAATATTTAAATTAAACATACAAATTGTGTTGTCAAAGCAACAAAAATAATTTTTCAGATAATTTGAAGAAAAATGCAAGCTAAAATTAATCTCCCCCCCCCAGGGATACTGCTAACATAAATAAATATAAATTCACGATTTAGAGAATCGGGAATTCCCGATTTTTGTGAATTTTATTGGCCATTGAATAGAGATATGTAGATGATGGACAACAAAAATTCAATAGTTTGTGTGTGCAAATAAGGACCGTCGTTTTCGTTATATTTTTCATGTAGATTTAAAATTATTATTCGATAAAAATATTTTTTCAACATTATACTTTATCATATACTTAATTTTTATTGCCAAAAGCAAAAAAAATAAAAATAGGTAAAGAGAAAAAATTTTCAGTATTACATTTTCAGATTACGATTTGCGAATCGGGATTCCCAACAACAGAAAACCCGGAATTCCCGATTTTCGTGTATTGGCGACGACAGGATTCTTGGTACATAAAAGTTTCCATTTTTAGCGGCAAAAAAAATTTTATTTTAGTGGCAACGATTTTTTAAAACAATTCTCTCTCCATCTGTTCAAATAATTAATAATTATTCTCCATTATTAATTATTTAGAAGCCTAAAATTAAATGAAAAATTTTATTTCGATTAAAAATCAATTTACTATTTAATTTCCTTTTTTCTAAATTGTATAGATATTTTATTATTTTTAAAAATTTGTATCATTTAATTATTAATAAAATAATAAAAAAATAATCAACTTTTACCCTTTTTTGTAAAAGTTGATGGAAAAAAATTTATTAAATTATTTGAGTGGGTTAGCTGTTAAGGTTCAAGTTAATATTAATTTGATTTTTGGTTCGAACCTTAGCGTAAGAATAAGTTCTTCAACCTTTTTCCTTTGGAGTAATTTTTCGGGAAAGAAGAAATATTGAAAAAATATTTTTTAGAGAGATTATCAATGGAAATAAATAAAAATAAATTTCAATTGGTAAAGAAAAATACTTCATTTCCAGCTAAATGTTGTATTTGTGGATATATTGCTAGCGGTTTCATTTATTATAATGTTATGTGTTGTGATGGTATGTATAAAAATATGTCCAAAATATTTTTTCAATTTTAATTTTTCCAAAGGTTGTAAACATTTTTTTCGACGTTCTCTTAATGCGGAAGAATTGTTCAAATGTAAATTTGATGGGAATTGTGATGTTATGAGAGGTATGGGATTTATGAAAATTTGCGGATTTAATGACTTAATTTTAATTAAATTAATTTAATTAACTTAATTTTAATTTAATGATATTTACTCCTTTTTATTGCACCTCTGAAGAGTAACACACACTTATACAGTGGATTGTGGTTGAGTGGATTTTTCTAATTTTTTAGCACAGTTTGATGATTCAACCCCAAACATGATTTATCATCATCGAATTTATTTTCAGTATTTTTTAGAAGCGGACTCCAAAAAAGAATTCGGGCTTTCTAAACTAAGCGATGCCGATCCTGAGAAATCCCGAATATTCTGCCTTAACCAAAGAATCTGGCCCCGCCCAAAGAATTTAGCTCAAAAACGAAATTTGAAATCATTTTTTTCTTATCTGAATTATTTTCCAGTTAGAGTTGAACTGGAATAGAACTTTGCCTCTAAAACTAAAATGTTACACACTCAATCACATTCATTAATTGTGAGCGATGCTAGAAGGTTCTCATTAATCTGATTAAATTTTTAAAGTGTCTAATAAATGCAAAGGCTGCCGTTTTGATAAATGTATTTTAATGGGAATGAATATACAAAAATTACGAAATCCACAACAATCTACTATCTCTTTATGGGAAATACGCTCAAAAATTGAACAACGATTGGGTGAACTTGCTTTAATTGGGAAATATCCTGAAAAAAGAAATAAAATTTTTGCGAGCAGTGAGGGAACTGATTTCTCGTTTATGGTAAAAAATACGTTTAAATATACAATTAGTATTTATCTGCTAAAACAGTCCCTACACCCTACATACACCCTCGGGGCTTAAAAATTTTATCTAAGTATTGAATGTAGCAGGAGTGTGCCGAAACGGATTTTAAAAGGCGAAAGTCAATTTAAAAAAGCGAAACGCGGAACGCAAAACTGGCACACCCCTGGAATGTATCTGTAAGTACGCTTAGGCAGTTCCTAAACCCAGTAACGAAAAATATTTTGAAAGCAGGGTTCTTTTCTATTATGACGTCAAAAGTCCGTTAGTTTTATATATTACTATTTTAACATTAATGGTTGTCTAAATACAACTAATTTTAAAATATTCTTTAAGCAAACAATATTTCTTGAAAATGAAGAAACTAAAATAATTGGAAATTTATTATCATTAGAGGAAAGCGTTGAAAAGATTAGAAATTCGCCTACACAGATAACTGATAAAAATTATGATTTTTCTTATAAAACATTAGAGGAAGTAATCAATCGAAAAGAAAATTCAATTTTTTTATGTTATGAATATTTGGTTTGTTTTTAGTTATGGAGGGAAGGCGTTAATTTAACGACAATAAAAAGTTACTGTATGTACATATGTGCGGAAGCCTGTTTAGGAGAGATGTCTAAGACCAAAAAGTTCAGACTCGAGACCAAGACTACACCCCAAGACCATGAGTCTTGGACATCTCTACTGTTTAGTAGAACCAATCGTGTTTTGATTAATTCGTTAATCTTCGAACCCTCTTTTCGTGTTTTCGTATTAAGAATACGGGCTAAATCTGAATCCCCCCTCACCGATTCCCAATTTTTTTCTTAAGAGCTAAATAATGGTTTATATGTAAATTTAAATTTAATTAAAATTATTTTTTAATAAAGGAAGAACAAAACTTTCTAAAATCGGATTATATTGAATTTGTTCACAAAAATGGCCTTTTTTCTTTACGACCTACTACATTAATTGAAGATTTAATTTTAATAATTGATATGGCAAAAACAATGCCTTTCTTCTATAAATTGGAATTAACTGATATTGTAAAGATTTTTAGATTAATTATTTAAATATGGATCCCAAAAAGATATTCATGACATTTCTCTGTTTTAGTACCACAAGCCACATACAAAAAGCCACATAGCTTTTTGGATTATTTTAAAATTAACTAAGTAACTATTAAAACTAAACCAGATTCATTGACCGTAAGTCCCGAAAGCAAAGAAATATTACGGACACCAAAGTCGACTTTAAACTGTGAAAATCCTCAAAAAATTTTATGGAGAAAAAAATCTTTTTTATGCGCAAACTAGTATTAAAATAATATTTCTTTAAACAGATTTATCAAATTACCTATATATCTATGCCTCTTGTAGCGTTGGCAAACGTTTGGTACTCTTGTAATAGAAAGTCAAAAACAGTTATAAGATCAGACGGAGTACCTGTAGTTGTAGCCTTTAGTGGAGAATATTATAAAGGAGATTTAACGTAAAATTAAAAAAATATTTTTCAATATATTTTTTTAATTTTATAGATTAAATAAATTGCTACAAAAATTATTTGTAACATTTTTGGAACCTTATACTCGAGTACAAATGGATAATGAAGAATATGTACTTATCCGCTCCATAATTTTTTCACATTTTGTTACAAATGGTCTTAGCAAAGAAGGACAGAAATTTTTACTTTCCGAGTCAGAAAAATATTGTGGAATATTAATGAGAATGTTACAGGTAGTTTTTAAGAAGATTGTTATCAGGGCTGGGCGCAGTTGAGGATTGCGTGAAATTGTGAGTTTTTTTTTGACTTGCGGGTTGCGTTTACGGATTTTAAAGAGTTACGGATTTCGGCTGTGGAAATCTTTTCCCAATTGCCCCCAGCCTAATGATTATGGTCTTTTAATAATGTAAAATTATCATTAGAAACGTTATGGTCAACTAAGAGGAGCAACAAGATATGCAGAATTGCTTCATTTAGTCGAATTTTGCTTTAAATGCGGAAATCATTTAAGCATTTTCCTTAATTATGTGGATAATGTATTAGATCAAGGGCGTTTCGAGAAAGTAATGCCTGCGCCATTAATTGATCTTTGCCTCCGCTGCAAAAATGTGAAATTACCGGAAATTACAGGAATTTAAATTTTTTTAAACAAGGTTTCAGAACAGAAGTGACAAATCCTAATTGATGTAAATATTTCAAAAATGTTTTTGCATTTAAAATACAGCTACATATGTATGTATTAGGGTTGGAGATTTCGAATCGGGCCGACTTTCAAGTCATTTTTTCGGGCCTCATTTTTATCGAACCGGGCCGTTTGAGTCTTTTTCGTGCCAAAATTCGATGCCCAGTTCGATCTTTCGAAACACTCTTTTGTCAAGATATTTTATCTGATTTTTCTAAGTGTTTAGACTCTTATTTTGATTTAAAAATTAGTAACTTTTTAATGACTTTTTTTAATTTAATTTAAAAATTAATGATTATTTATCTTCTTCCTCAAGTAATTCTTCATTTTCATCAATTTTGGCCGATTTTAAAAATGCTTTATTAACAAATTCAGAAACTGATCCAGTGACTGTTGAGAATAAATTGATTCTTGTCTGATCATTTATTTCATTATTTCCATTCCAATTTGTCTGATTTTTAAAAAATATTTAAAATATAAATAAAAACAAACCGGAATCTCTACGTTTTCATTTGTTCCCCTTCTCCATTTTACATTAATATTTAAAAAACGTTCATTTCTAAGACTTTCGGCAATAAAGAGACGTAAACTTTAATTTTTATTTCTTTAAATTTATTTTTGAAACCACTAAAAATTACCGTGGATTCCTTCTATATTCTGAACGTACAGCTAATATCAATACAACCCCAAAAATTATTCCCAAAAATAGCCAAGGCACTAATTCTTTAAAATGTATAATTCCAACTTGTCGTGAACATTTTAATTTTAAATCAAAATAAAATTTGTCCTCATTTTCGGCAGAAGGTTGATATTCAACAGGGAGATGAGCTTAAAAAATTTAATTAAAAAATTATTATTTGAATTTTAAGAAAAAAATTTTGAAATAAAAAATTATTATAGTCAAATTTTTTAAATACATTTTTGGTGAGGGAGGGGGAGCTGTCTACCGTATTTACTCGATTAATTCCCAACCCTCAATTAATTCCCCATGCCAGGGATGAGTTAAAACAATAATTCCTCACCCCTGAATAATTCCGCTCCCTCGAATAATTCCCCACCCTACGGATGGGTTAAAATATTAATTCCCCTCCTTATAAGATGCTTTTTCCAACCCCAATGGGATTGTAAAGAGTTTCAACTGTCTAAATAAACTTTTATTTAATTTTACAATATAAATATTAAAATAATTTTAACAATTAATTCCTTGCTGAATTCTCTTAAATATATCCCAAATTACAGAGCAGAATTGTTTCTCATTGTAATTGAATGAATGTTTATTTAGTATAGAAATCTTAAAAATAAATGTATTTAATTTTAATTTAAAAAGAAAACTTGATATAAAGGATGGAAATCGTCATTATCTATTCGAACAAAAGAAATTCCGGAATCTTTTGGGAGCCATTCAAAATCTTTAATTAATTTTCCATATTTTTTAATAATTTCAATAGATTTTGTAAAATTAAGAGTATTTTGTCGAAAACTTAAAATTGCACCTTTAAATTAAAAAAATTAAATGGAGATTTAATTTTTAAAATTAATTAATTACCACATTGCTCGCAACATTGCCCTACAGGTTTCAAAGGAAGAGAACAATAATTATTAAAAGGTTCACAGTTAACAAAAGCACATAAAGCAGAAAATTGCTTTAAAATTTTAATTAAATTTTAAGAAATATTAATTATTAAATTAATTTTCAAAGTCAAAAATGATTTTTAAATTTAGGTATTTAAAAGGAGTGTAGCATAAATAGTAAGTTTGAAAATTAAATAATATTTTCGGACAGTAAATATTTTTGAAATATTTTTGACAATAGAAAAAATAAAATTATTAATTATTTAATTAATTAGTTAGGATTATCTATAAAATTAAATTTCAAATTTTACCGGTTCAAAAAAATTTGAATTTGGTCTTCCAAAAAATATTTCCCTTTCCTTCATCTTTTCATCCTTTTTCCTTTTTTCTTCGTTTATTTTTAATACAAGACCAAGAGGTAAATTAAATAATAAAGATTTATTTAATTTTTGATATTCAATACTAATTCTATTGCCAAGTATTAATTGAAGTTGGCCTTCTATTGTATATGGAAGGTGTCTAAGTTGGTCATTAGACAATAACTAAATTTTAATTAAAATATTAAGTTATTTGAATGTAAGATTTGAAAGGCTTAGAAATATTTATGAAAAAGTATTCCAAAGCTTAGTCTTCCGAATTCGTAATTAAATCAAGAAAAAAAATCAACCAATGCCAAAAATTGAGGATTAATGTCTCTAATATTGATCCTTAATGTACTTTTAAAAGACATTTATTCTTCTTTAATTAATTTTTCAAATATAAGTAATTCGAGTATATATTTATTTTATTCTTATATAGAAATAATAAAAAAAATTTTACGTTTCCAGAGAAATTAAGTGACCGAACTGTAGTTTGTACATTTAAAGAGATTTTGGAGGATTTTTCCTTTGGAAACAGAACGTCATCCTTTAAAATAGTTTAGAAAATAAATTAAATTTTTTAAGAATATTTTAAAATATTTTTATCCATTTTTACGGTATACCCTTTGGAAGTTATAAAATTTATATATTAAAATATTAAAGAATTATTATCGTCTTCAGCTCACCTCCCCGCAAAAACAAAATTCAAAATATAACCAATAATAGTCTTGAAAACATTTAGAGAAGCAAAACCCATAAAACATTCAAAAACTTTATAATAAAACTATCATAATTAGTGTCATCAACCTCTTAATCCGTTTAGTGTTTTTACTATTTAATTATTTTATTACATTCACTATAATCTACGTATTAATTTATTTTAATTTTTAATTTTAAAACATTTAAAATTTTTTAAATTAATTTTAAATTAATTTAGTACTTAATCAGGTGATACAACAAAACAACACTTAAATTTTAATTTAACTAAAATAATTTACGAGAATATTCAAAAATTGCATCATTATTATTTTATTTATTTCATCAGATTATTCCTTTTCTCTATTATAAACTAAATTATTATAACCACTAAGTAATTCTTTTAGTTGTCAAACTACGAAGAATACAAAATAGAGAATGAATGAGAATTTAGAAAAAAAGATTAATGATTTTGATTTTTTTAATTTTATTTTAAATAAATAAAATTGTTGAAAATACCATCGTGTATATCCTGATATCCTCTTAATCCTCCCAAATCCCCTGATAACCCTATTTATTGATTGAATGATTTAGAGGGCTTAAACGATAGCTGAGAATTTGAGGAGTAAAATGATATCGCAGATTAAAAAGATTTTGGGAAGATATCAAGGGATTGTCTCCAATGTTTTCTCCTTATAACAAAAAAACTAAAAAAATTAGCTTTTTTCGCCATTAGCTGATGTGTGTGTTTTGCCTTTCGTTATTTCCTTTCCGTTTATTAGATTAACTTTTGCTTTCCATTATTCGTCTTTCATTTTTTCAAAATCAGTTTTGAAACACCTCTGACTAATAATTAGTTGCTTTAATATGTCTAATTAAAACAATCTAATCAAGCAATTATTTAAAGCACTCAACAAACTTCTAATTTTGACGTACAATGTCAAAATTGGCAATCCCGGAGAATTGGGGTCCCTGCGGAAAAAAATCTTAAAAATAAGAAAAAGGATTTTTCTAGGGTAAAAAAGTATGCTGATTACGAATCTGAACTCAGATTTTGAAAAAGTCGAATCCCGAACCCGAATTCGGACTTTTGCCCCCGAACAGGATTTTTGGCTTTAAACATTGTCGGACATTGTACAAAATGGCTAGTCTTTCAAAAGAATCTAGAACTCATCGAGCTAAGTCGAATGACACCAAAATCAATGAAATCCGACCGGATTGAACCGAGATACAGACCCTAAATATTGAAAAACCACGGGTGATCTTTTGGAGTAAAAAAAAAGTTTATACAAATGATAGCTCATTCGAAAGAGTTCGTCGAGCTGAGTCGAATGACACCAAAATTACAGTGATTGATCAAGTTTAGACAAAATTATGACATAAGTTGCCGACTCTTACAGTACTCCCAGAGGCTTACTTTATGTCATAACTTTGTCGAAGCAGGTCCGATCGCGTTGGTTTTGGTGTCATTCGATGCAGCTCGACGAGCTCTTTCGAATGAGCTATCATTTGCATATTCGAAATTCGGGTTCAGGGTTCGAAATTTGGTTCGGTTCGGGATTCGACTTTTTCAAAATCTGAGTTCAGATTCGTAATCAGCATACTTTTTTACCCTAGAAAAATCCTTTTTCTTATTTTTAAGATTTTTTTCCGCAGGGACCCCAATTCTCCGGGATTGCCTCAAAATTTATTTTTTAATTATTGGCTCATAATTTATATGAATATCTCTCTCTTTAATCCTCATTATTAACTTAGATGTTGTCTCGATTTTTCAAATTAACCCTAAACAAATTTTAATTTTTTTTTCTAAAAATACAAAAACCTGTATTTTGTTAGTTTATGGAAAGCTATGGTTTAAACTACACAAAGTACTAGATTAAACAGATAAATAGATATAAATTTGTTTTTTTCTCATTTTTTGATAATAAAAAGTGTTTAGGTAAAAATACCATTTTTGGAGTAATAAACAAAAAATGAAAAGATTATTTGTGTTTGAGCACGATTGCATCAGTTTTGATACACGCTGCGCTCTTTTCTCTTTTTTTTTGTTATTAAATAAAATATTTTTGGTAAATAAAAAGTATTTGTGTATAGTGTTTTGGTTAAGCAAAACTTTGTTTTGGTCTTTAATCCTGAGTTTATATCCCTTTGATTAAGATTATGTATCATTATTGATTATGTATTAATTATTGATTATGTATTAAGATTATGTATCATTATTATATCATTATCATTATATTATTATATATCCCTTTTATTAATATTATATATTAAGATTATATTAAGATTATTAAGATTATTATCCCTTTTATCTCCCATCTCTTTATCTCTCTCCTCCTTTATCTCCCATCCTCCAGGTTTCTGATCATTCTTATTATGCTGATCAAATACGAGACCCTCTCCCCATTGTTTAACAAATGTTTGTGTTGTTCTGTGATCCTCCTCCTTCCTTCCTTCCCCTCACAACCCCCTCCCTCAACCCCCCCCCCCCTTCCCCTCAATCTCCCCACATTCTCTCAACATCCAAAATTATTCCCATTCCCATAGTAACACAACGAAAACGTCAAAGAAGTCACTGACAGCGATCTATTGAGCGGCGATTCAATAAAATAAAATTATTTGTTTGTTTCTTTCTTTGGGTGGCTGTTTTTGTGTGTGTGAAGGTTGATCAAAGAAATGATTGAAAAGAAAGGTACAACGAGACACACATTTCTTCTATTTTTCCTTTAATGGTATAATGATAAAAATTGCTGTAAAAGATGATTGATATGTTAATATTTAAAATTAAACACACGAGGATGATGAAAAAAAGAAAATAAAAACTTTAGTATATTTTCTGGTTTTTTAAAGAAAAAATTCTTTTTTTGATTTGACTTTTATTAAATGGTTATTTTTGGTATTTATTTTTTTATTAAATAAATATTTGTTAAATATGGAGTAGATTAATTGGAAAATAATAAAAGTATGATTAATAATTTTTGAAAAGTAAAGAGAAAAGTTTCAGACAAGCTGTAAATTATACTTATTAATTTTTCTAGTGTATTTGGTAAATAGACAGATTAATTAAGTAGAGAGAAATTAAAATTTAAAAAATGATTTTTCAAAAAGAAATTCTTTCATCATTTTTATTTTAAAGATAAAACAAATAAAAACTCAAAAAAGCAGAAAAGCAAACCCTTCGGGAAAAGAGGGGAAAAAATCCTTCCCTTTATTTTCATAGTTGTTGTCTCTGACATTCAAACAAATGACTACGACTAACTTTTAATGTTAACGGAAATAAATATAAAACAAAAATTGCGTCAGGTTTATTCATTTCTTCCCACCCCTTTAATTTTTCCTTTAAATATGGCCGTGTTTTGGTAATTTGGCAACAGTTTAATTTATTTTATTTTAAAATTTCTCCTTCATTTTCCCTCAATATTCCCTCAATATTTTAATAAATTTAAATATTTTCCCCTCTTTTTCCCCCCTTTCTTTTTAAAAATATTTTTTAAACTTTTTAAATTTACCTTTATTGAGGGAACTTTTTCAGCATCTAACAAAAATATATTTGATGAAATACTTTCTTTTTCTTCTTCATTTTCATCATACTCTTCTTTCTCTATTACACTTTTTACTTTTTTTATTTGCCAGTTGGCCCCATCAAAAAAATTTGGTTCGTCTATTTTTGGACTGTTGAATGATTCTAAATTTAGAAATTAATAAATAAATTAGACAGACATTTCTTTTAAATAATTTAAAAACCTTCTAAACATTGTTTCTTTTCTTTATTTTTTTCTTCCTCAATTTTAGCTTTATTTCCAAAGAAAATAATTCCATTTTCAGGTAATACTAAATTATGGACCTAAATATATTTACATTTTCACTAAAAAATTATTTTTAAATTTTTATTTTTATATTTTCTACTCTTTTGAATGTCGGAGACTTTAAAATTTTTAAAATAAAATTCCCATTAGAATTACCAATAATTTTTAAATACAATTTTTTCCTTTTAAAAAAAGTAACGATTTTTCCTTTTTTTCTTTTATTCTTTTCAATATTTTCAAAAAAAACTTGCGGTTACGAGAATATAAACTTATATTTCGTTAAATTATTTATTCAAAAAATTAAATAATTATTCTTGATACTTAAAATTATTATTTCGAACAAACATATGCAGGTGGTTTTTTTGTCACAATTTCGATTAATAATTAGATTAATTAATGGACTAATTATTTACCATATTTACTCGATTAATTCCCCTCTCTCGAATAATTCCCCCTGCTACGGATGAGTTGAAACAATAATCCTCCTCCCACAAATACCTTACTAAACGTTCAAATTTCAAAACTCGAATAATTCCCCACACTTGGATAATTCGCCATGCCACGGACGGGTTGAAAAAATAATTCCCCAGGGGATTAATCGAGTAAATATGGTATATTCGAAAACAATCTTTGTTTTAGTCCAAAATCCCCCGCAAGTTTTATCCCCAATTTTCCTTTAATTCTTTACTTGCCTTCATTTCCCCTTCAAGTATTGCCACGAAAGAATTATTTTTATTTTCTCTTTTCTCGCAATTCTCTTTATTAATCCAATATTTTGTTTTAGACAGTTGGTTAGAGGGAATCCATTCGAAAAGTAAGCTTTCGGCCAAAAATTGTTTTAAAAAAGGAAATAAATAAATAATTATTAGAAAATTAAATAAGAATAATTTTGGCATTTTTTGTGTGTATTTCTAATAATTAATTAAAATAAAGATTATTTAAAGCTTTAATTTTCCGAATTTAATTTAAAAAATTTTTTTCTAATTTCTATTTTTAGTTTCATTTTTTTTATTTTTTTCAAAAAAAAAATTTTTTTTATTAAATTTCCAATTTACACAAAAATAAAATTCCTGTATTTTATTTAAATTGCAAAAACAAATATTTATTTTCAGTTTATTTACTGATTGTAAAAAAACAAAAATACTTTTGTAGTAAAAATAGAAAAACAAAAATATTTGTACTTTTTTAACTAAAAATATTTTTTTCAAAAAAAAATATTTTTTAGGGATTAAAAAAGCTAAAAATTATTTTTATAAAATAAAAATCAGAAAAAATATGAATTTATAGAAATTTATTGATAAAATATAATTATTATTTTCGAGAATAAATTAAAATGGACATTTATTCTCTCCCTCTCTCTCTCACTCAATTTTTGTTTATAATTCTCTTTAATTATTTAATTTAATACTTTTTTTTGTTTATTATTGGTAGGGCCACGCGTTTCCTTCAAATTACAACAAAAAAGAATAATATTTTTCTCAAATAAAACAGGAATATTTCAAGTAAATAAATTTTGAGAGTTAATTATGATTTTGTTTTTTTTTTAATTTAAAAATTAAACAAATATTTGTTTACTATTTTTGTGATCAATTTACTGAGACCAGTTATTTGGATCCACTCAGTCTTTAATTCTTTACTTTCTCGATGTTTAAAAAACATTTCCTGATTTCCTGAGGCTTCTTATTTTCTGTCAGAATAATTTCCGGAAATAAACAATGAAACTTTGTCTTGATTTTCTAAAAAATCTTCTAGTATCGAGTTACTTACCTTCTTACCCATGGGAAAATATTTAATATACATACAATTTTAGTATCAATTTATTTTGAGCACATGGCGTTCAAAGTATACTATAAAGAAGGTATACAGAGGCCGATCATTCCATCACAAATTATTTTAACCTTCTTTTTATCATTCACCAAAACAATCCAAACTATCAATCAAAAATTATCTTTCTATTTATTTTACCTTCCCTTTTCTCTCTTTTATTTTTTTCCCAAACGCACGTTGCCGGCTTTCGTCATCATTATAAATTTATTTGTCTTTGACATCTTTTTTATAAATAATTATTATTTTTATTTTCTCCGCCCATATTTACCCATAGCAGCGTTACTAAAATTATTATAAAATAGTACTAGTTTGCTCCCTGAATCTTCATTCTTCTAACCATTTTTAGAAAACAAAAATATTTTTGATGGTTCTACCTTAATTTAACATTATTATGAAATAATTAACTATAAAAGTTTCTATTTTGCTTATCAGTTTCCCTCAATTTTATTCAATTTCTCCTTAATTATATTCATTTTTTCAGATAATAGAGCATAATTAACAGCTCTTTTCTAACTCAATTTATTCACTAAATCTTCTCATTAACTCTCAACTGATCTAAAATGGTTAAACAACCAGAGACTCCACTCATTAATGGCAAAACAAATGGTTTTGCAACAAAGAATGGCATTTTGAATGGTAAAATTGCTAATGGAACAACAAATATTAGCAACGGACATTTACCCAATGATCAACAAATAAAAATTCGATTGGCGAAGCCTGAGGACGCAAAAGTTTTACGCTCACTGATTCAAGAACTGGCAGACCATCAAGAAATGCCTGATGGACCTCGAATTTCTGCTGAACAGATTGCACAGGATTTTAGGTGGATTCTGGCATTTTTGGAATTTTTTGAGTAATTTTGAAAAAAAATTTTTAGTTCTGGTTTTATGCATTCATTGGTAGCTTTTGGATCCAAAGGAGAAATGGCAGCTTATGCTCTTTACTATTTGCCTGGATCGAGTACTCAAGGACAAATACTGCATTTAGAGGATCTTTACATTCGACCACAATTTCGACGACGGGGAATTGGTCTACATTTGTTGAAGGAATTGGAAAAGGTGCTTAACTGTCTTTAACCAAAAATAATAAATCTTTTTCTCATCAGATTGCCAATGCTAAGCATCTTCCTTTCTTGGAATGGCAAGTATTACGTTCCAATCACGGTGCCATTCACTTCTACAAAACACTGCCAGGATTAATTGATGAGACTGATGGGAAGGAATTTAATAAATCTATCTTTTGGCGTTTATCTTCTCATGCATTCGGGCATATTTTGCGAAAGGCGGCGAAACAAGAGCAGAAGGAAAACAATGAAAAATTGGTAATAAATGGAGATTTTTTGGGAAAAATTAGTTAAAATTTTTTCAGATAATGGAAGTTCATTTGGATGAATGCAGCGGCAGTGCCCAAATCTCTGAAAGAAACGCTTTTCACCTTGCTGATCAGTGGCATTCTTTGGTTAACTCGCCACGAAATGGGGAAATAATTAGGGAAGAGGAAGGAGAAGAGGAGAATAATGGAAGGAAGGCATATAAATTCCTCAACAGACGTTCTTTGGCTAAACAAATAAATTCTGGTTTACTTGGAGCTATTGTTGTGAGGAAAGAGCAAAAAGCAATAGAAGAAGAAAGGAAGAAAATTGTTGGGATGGCTTTCTTCCATAGAAGGAGTTATTCGACTTGGCAAGGAAGGGTAAGGGATTTCCAGGAGAGAGAGACTTGAAATAATGATTATTCTTTTTTTAGTTCCCCGTTTTGGATAATATTTTTGTGGCGGATTCTGCTCGTCGAAAGGGTGTTGGAACTGCTATTATGGCAGAATTAGTTAAGGTAGTAATCAAAAATTAAAATTTTGGACAATTTTGAATAAGATATTTTTTAGATTGCTCACACAATGGGGGCAACTAAAATTCAGTGGGATGCACACGAACCAACTGCAATTAATTGCCAACACGTGCCTTTCTTCAAATCGGTTAGTTTTTGAATACAAATGTCAAAAACAAATCTTAAATTTTTTATTTTTCAAAAATGGACATTTGATCCCAAAAATTTATTTTTTTCTAATTTTCAGTTAAATGCCGATAATTTAACTGACGACGAGGGCTGGTTGCTATACCGTTGGCATTATAACCAACAAAAACAATATACTAATGGAGAAATAACTGAAATTAAAGAGAATGGTGTTAGTAAAAAGAATAATATTTTGAATGGATGCTAGCTAATAAAAAGAGAAAAGAAAATTTTTAAAAAAAAATTAGGGATGAAGCAAAATAATAAAAACAATTTTATTTAAATTTTCATGCATTTCCTTTCATCTTTCTTTCTATTGTTCATTGTTGGCAACGATTACTTTCCTTTTAACCATTTTTTCTTTTTTTATAATATTATCTTTTAAAAGTAATGGAATTTAATAAATATTTTAAATAATTGAAAAGCTTTATTTTTTTAATTAAAAAATGATAGGTTTAATATTAAAATAAATAAAATTGGCAACAAATCTGAATAAAGTAAGAAATAAGAAGTAGGGTAGAGTATACAAAAAATAGAAAATAATAAAAAAATAATAAAGGAATTAAAAACAATTTTTGTTGAAGGAACAATGAAGTTAATAGTTTCCTACCCCAAATCGAAACAATTCTACATATGCATTTAATTTTTGTTTTATTATTAATTTTAGGTTCGAATATAGACAAGGGCGTAGGCTGGGGGTTGATTTTAGGGGGGGGGGCTAAAATGGGGAAATAAAAATTTTGGGGTTTGTAGGAGAAAAAATTCACTTTTTGATCATATCCCTCCCAAAATTTTTTCATTTTTCCATTTCAGAGGGTTGGCTATAGTCCTCATCTTCTGGCTACACCCTTGAATCTAGGTGTTTTTAGATCACTTATTCATAAAGTAATTTTTATTTTTTATTATCCCATCTCTATAAATTTTAAGGTCAAAATTCCATTCCCAAAATTAATTGTTTTAACTTCAATAAATAAATTTAATAAAGAGAAAAAAAGGAAAGAGTAAAAGAGTAAAAGAGAGAGTATAGGTAATTTACTAATATTTATTTTTCTGTTTTACAAAATATCCACAGAATCATTGCGCAGTTAACTTGAGCTTTTCTGCCCTTTCGACGTCATTAACATTTAACTACTAATTTATTTGCGCCGACCAGAACTTGGATTTTGGAATAGATATTCTAATTGGGGCGGTACAGTAAATAAATTAGCTGTTTCTTGTGGGGGTTTGTAGTTCTTGGCAATTTTTGCAAACTAAAAAGATAAAAATAAATAAAATATTTCTAATTATTTACCTGTTCTTTAATTAAATCCAAAGCCCCTCCAGTATTTGCCCACCGCTGTAACCTTTGTAAATTGTCAAGCCCAAAAGCGCGATCGACATGGCTGAGCAATTTTGCTTGACTGTCTAATTTTTGACTACCTAAAGCTACCTAAATAAAGAAATCTTGATAAAATTTCCAAAAAGATTTCCAAATACCTCCATAATATCAATAGCAGCAGCCTCTAAAGGCGTACCCTGTTCAAAGTGTGTAATCACTTGATTAAAGCCTTCATCTGCCTTGTTAATAATATTTAGAAGAGCAGAAGGTTTTACCTAAAATTAAAAATAATCTTTTCAAAGAATTTAATTATCTCTTACAGTTGTCGCCTCATTTTCCGGAACAGCTTCCTGTGGAGGAGCTAGAATCCCCATACCAGCAACTGGTGGAATACCAATTGCATTAGGTATTGGACGAAATGGTGGAAGCATTGGAATACCACCAGATACAGCCCCGCTAGTTCCAATAGGTGGAGGTGTTTGAGGAAGAGCAGAGCCGGGAAGGGAAGCAGAAGGCCCATAACCATCACCATCTGGACCTTTCCTATTTGGAATTAATGCAGAATCTCCAGTATAAAAGTCTTCAGGTTTGAGAGGAGGTTCAACTTGGGCATCGGGTGGAGGAGGTTCCCAACCACCACGACTTTTGCCTAAAAATTAATTTAAATAAAAATCCATTTTTTATCACTAAATTACCATTACTTCCCCCAATAACTCCACTATTTCCAAATCCCCCACCTCCACGACCTGCAGAACTACTGCCAAAACCTCCGGCTCCGAAAAATTCTTTTGGCGGGGCCACAGGGCGAAGACCAGAATTTTCAGGAATAACAAAAGCTTCTTCTGGGGGAGGGGGTGGTGGTGCAGGTGTTCTAAAAATATATTTTAATAAAATATTTTACTTGAATTTATAATAACTCGAAAATTCTACTCTAAATTAATTAGCAACTTGTTGGAGAATATTTTTAAGACCCTAAGACATGGAAAAATATTTTTTTAGTTTAAAAAACATAAACAAAATTATTCTAAAATAAACAGACTGTGTTGTTGTTGTTGTTAATTCTGTTGTTGTAGTAGGTATTACTGTAGTTGATATTTCAGTTGTTGTTTGTAATTCAGTTGTTGTTGTTGTTGTCTGTTAAAATATTTTTAAATTAAAAAATAAAAACAATAATTTTACTTGTGTGCTAGTTGTTGTAGTTGGTGCTTCTGTACTAGATAATAATGTTGTTTCTAATTCAGTCACAAAACCATTTAATCCAAAAGATTCTTTTAAACCGGGAGGAAATGTTCCAACCTGCAAAAGTTTTAGAAAAAAATTTTTTCCAATTTTCTACCTCAGGTCCAGAGCCAAAACTCAATCCATTATCTTCTGCACCATTAGACAAACCAATGAAACCGGCACCAGCTTCAGAAAATCCTGGAGGTAGAGGACCAGGTCCATCTCCCACAAGTCCACTATTTCCTATAATTCCACTGTCCTCTCCATGACTATTTCCACCATTTTCCTCAATTTTCTGAGATGGTTGTGTGGTTGTTTCTTGGGCTAAATTTTAAATTGAAAAACTTTCTGTTTTAAAAAGAAACTTGTAGCAGCAATAGTTGGTGGTCCTCCCTCTAATTTCATTGGTGGCTGTTCTCCCATTGAACCAACTTCCATTGCTGGTGCTGGTAAAGGTTGTGATGTAGTTGTTGTTGTTGTTGTATCAGTTGTTGTTGTTGATGTTTCTCTTATTGTTTGTGTTGAAACTTGGGAAGGTGGGGGCTCTCCCGGTGCTGGTGGTACTGGAATTGGTTGTTCCGAAGGTTCTTCCCCAAACAAACTGAGGGAAGGTAAAGCAATAGGTAAATGACTTCCTCTTTTTTGTTCAGTTCCAAAAGCTGAATTTTCTGGTAATTGAATACTTGGACGTTGTTGGCCGTTAAAATTTTCAATATTTTGGGGTCTTCTTATTTTAAGTCTAGGGCGGAATACAACTTTGTTTGGAACTAAACGGAAACGGCGTTCAAGCTAAAAAAGGGGGAATTTTATTCCAAAAACTTTTAACAATAATTTACTTGAAGGGATTGTTTTCCCTTCTCATTATTGTCATCATTCCCCTCAATTTGTAATAATTCTTTGCCAAGTTGATCTTTAATTAATTCATTTTGTTGTTGTTGACGATTTCTTATACCAAATTGACGATTTCTCCAGTCAACAGCTAGTAAAAATTTTTTAAAATTTGTTATATTTAGTCGGAATTTGATTTTATGAACACTCAGTTTTAATTATAATTATCGTATTTCCTCTATTTGAATGCCACCCTCTAATTGAATACCTGATTGAAAAATAGAATGCCATGGCATTCTAATAGAGGTAATAAGGTATTTTAATTTGGTTTGCCAGTGGGTGGAGGAGCTACCCAAACCTTCAACTCTAATAATCCTCATTTTTACGAATAATTTTGTTAGCTCATTTAATGTCTTATATTTACATAACAATCCAAAAAATTATTGTGTAATTTTCAATAAACAATTATTTAATATTCATTTCTGATTTATTTCGTAAAATTATAATACTTACCTAAATTATTACTTTCATCTCCAAATAATTGTCTATTCAATAATTGTTGTTTTTGTTTATTATTACGTATTGTCTGAATAACACTATTATTATTATTATTATAACTTTTTTGTTCTTCTAATAACCGTTGTCTATGTCTGTGTCTAAGCATTCTAAGTGATGGTTGCCAAGGTTTTGGTTGTTGATTATTTGCTTCATTTTGTTGTTGTAATCGTTGTTGTTTTTGTTGTGATAATTGAGCTTCAAGAAGTGCACGTCTTGCTGAGGTTAAATCGAATTGGTCATCATTATTTTTATTTTCCTGTTCATCAATCCCTGCACTGCTACTACTTTGAGAAGGAACTATTGAAAGAAAATAAATTTTTTTAATCAAACAGTGGGAAATTGGAAGTAATTTTAAATAATCCACTTGGAATATACATATTAATAAAGATGATCTCGAATATTGGGATAATATAGGTATACCTATGTATAATCAAGAGAAATCGAAATCAATGGAACGGTCAGCATTTTTAAATTATTGGAGAAATAATGGTAAAAATGTTTTTTCCTAACAGAGGTGGGTCGAAATTCCGATTTTCGACGTTTTTTTCCTTACGATTTCCGATTTCCGAAAAAATATTTTTGATTTCCGATTTCCGGCTCTCCCGATTTCCGACACCTCTGACTGTTCCGACCCACCTCTGTTATCTAAGTATAGAGATAATTATAGACCTGAGATATACATAGTAGCTAAATTATTAGTCATGAAAACGTAAATACAAGATAACAATAAAGAAGATAAAGTAAAAGTCTGTTTCTAAACAAACCAATTCGATTATGTCCACCAGTCAATTTACGAGCTCTTGGAACATTTAAACCATTTCTCCTTTGAGGGCGAATAGACGAATTTGGTAATTTAATTGTTGTTTTCGGAGTTGACTGAGTTGTTGTTGTTATAGGTGTTGTAATTGTTTGTTTTTCTGTTGTTGGTGTTGTTGTTAATGTTGTAGTAGTTGTTGTTGTTGTAGAACTTTCTGTAGTTGATTTTGTTTTATTTAAACTGTCCCTTAGTATTTTACGTTGTTGTTGAATCTAAAATGATAATTTAGAAAATAATAAAAAAATTATTAAAGTTCTAATAATTCTGATTATTTCTGATAATCAAAAAGTATAGACAAACTGCTTATGAAGTTTTAAAGTCTTAAATTTCATTAATACTTTTGAATTAAAAATAATGATAGGGGAGTACATATCTACGGACATAAAGTTGTGGTTAACTCAAGCATTTTAAAATCAAAAATTTACCAATCTAAATTTTCTTATAGGCAATAGAGAGGATGATCCAG